AATGGGAGTCTAGGTGCTGCTCAGGCCAGAATTACAGGGTTCCAATGTGGACTGGGCTTTTCCTAGGGTCTGAGGCTAGTCTCTCTCTCTCTCTCTCTCTCTCTCTCTCATTTGTTTTTTGTGGAGGTAGAATCAGGAACAGGAGAGCAGCATAGACAGCTCCAAGTGATCCTGGGGCTGGAAACCAAACAAACTTATCTGGATGTTCCTCCAACACACAGCAGGTTGTGACTAAGCCTTAAGTAGGAGTTTGCTCTCCTTAGGCTGGTCAATCCTGACTAAGCCCTTTTCCCTTAAAGGGGCCTTGTCTGCTTTAACGATCTCAGGTTGCAAAACTGAGGGGATGGCTGAGGCAAGCTGGTGTTGAAGGATGGTGATGAACCTCTCTGAGATGCACTGTATATAAGATCACCAGCTAAAATACCATTCATTCACCCCTATAGTTTTAACTGACTTCAGTTCCAATGGGTTTAATAGATCCCTTACCAAGTATAATCAAGTCTGGATCAATTACAATGTTTTCATTATTCTTGCCTATTGCAATCACATTAAAAAAAGAAAAAGTACCTAAAAAACAATTAACCACTTTTCTGTCATTTGGGCATCCCCCCCCCCCACCAAGCCCAGTGTCTTATAATTTCATGTAATTTGTTTCACCTCAGCTTTGCTCATTGTATTTTTATCCTGCTGCCACTGATTCGTTATTATTGATGAAACATTCTGCATGTTTTTAATTTCAGTTAAAGACTGAAGAATGTAAGACACATCATGCTGGACTGGACCTGCAGTCCATCCAGCCCAGTCTATTCATGGGATGGCACCAGCTGTTTGCAAGATCTCCCGACCCGGATGGGTACAAGAATTCCACCTGCCCACGCTGCTCAGCAACTGGCACACACAGCCAGCAAAACTAAAAGCCACCAATAGCCTTGTCCTCCCTGAATTTGGCAATTTTTTAAGCTTCCCTGGACATTTCATTAAATGGGGATGCATATGTCAATGGTAAATAAATGCCCCTAAATATATATCCATAGGGAGGAAGAGAGGAAGGCAGGCAGGCAGGCAGGCAGGCAGACAGACAGAAGAGCTACCAAGCAAATAGTCCTCTTCACTGGAAAGAAAATTCCTCGTTTGAGATGCGGCTCAGGCAACACCATGAATCAGCTGGTTGCAGAGCTGAGTGATAGCATTTTAGTTACATCCCAGACTGGAACTTCCAGATGAGTCATCCTGGTGATTCTTAGTGAGCACATGTCTCCAGGGAGCGTTGGGTCTACAGCAGATTTGAAAAGAAGTGAAAACTGCACAGTACACGTACCAAACGCACACACACATGCATGTGATAAGCTTGGTAAGATGACCGTGGAGTTCTCTGAGCAAATAAAACCTTACTTCTCTCAAATAAAGACATAAAAGTAGAGGCAGCCATCCTGGTCCATCAGAAAAGGGAAAGAAAATCTACAATGAGGCAATACCTTCCTTGGGAGTTGGACTCACCAAAAGCCAGCAGACCTGGCTGTGCGCTACACGTCTGCGCCGACTTAGCATTGTGATGGCATTTTACACTTCGTGTATCAATATGTACAAGTTATAAAACCCTCTAGGCTAATCTTTAAGAGGATGAGTACATCATTTGCATGCAGAAGGCAGGCTGCTCAGTCCCTGACATAGCGAGTGAAAAGGTATATCATGGCAAGAAACTGCCCGAGAAACTGAAGAGCTGCTGCTCATTATGGTTGTAATCTGGTTTTAATAGATATTTATATTTCTTGGCTTTTTATATAAATTGTCTTGGGATTTTATAATAATCAGATGGTATCTTAGAAATTTTAAATAAATAGATATGTGGAGTGGAGTGGAATAGACAGGTCCTAGCTTAATTGCATTCAATGGGACTTACTCTCAGACAAATGTGCTGGCTGTAGGTAGAGATTGCCCCGTGCCCCATGTGGCCGTAGCTGACTGAGGTTTGGACCCTGCACTTCTTGGCTCACCCAGGTAGCTGCTGCACTGCACAACCTATTCCCTACAGGCAAGGGAGGTGACGAGATTGGTCTCTGCCCCACCAGTCTGGGAACTGTCAGAAGGAGTGGGGAGACCCAGGACAGAATCCCCACTGAGCCATCCCCAGAAGCTCATGGGCTGATCCCAGGCCAGTCTCCCTCTTTCGGTGTTGCCATGAGGGTCTAAAGGTAGGGTGGAAAGAGGACTAGGAGGCCCCCTAGAGCTCCAGGTAGGAGAAGCAGAAACACAATGCCATCATCAGGGCATTCTTCTTTATCATGTTGTACTTAAGGGTTTGATATTTGTGAATCATGCAGAGAGATTGTGCTACAGGGTGGTATAGAAACAAAGAATTACATAAAGGGGGTTGAGTTTTTATCAATTTGGAAGGAGAGCGGGACCACCCGTAGAGCAAATACTAGCTTCTCTACATATGCTGGGACTCCCCAGCAATGCAGATGTATCTAAGTGGAGAGCCAGTGTGTTATAGTGGTTAAGGGAGAGAGACTGGGACTCAGGAGATGTGGGTTCTGGACCCCACTTGGCTGAGAAGCTCATTGGGTGACTCTGGGCCAATCAGACTCTCAGCCCAACCTACCTCACAGGGTTGTTGCAGAGATAAATAGGACAGAAGGAGGATTATGGGTACACTGCATTGGAATCCTTGGAAGAAAGGGAGGATATAAATCGGGCAACTAAATGCGCCAAAAGAAAAAGTTCAGAGAAGACCAGCCAGGCTCAGTGGTCTGCAGAAGCAATAGAAAGCTGAGGGTTACCTGCAAGAGAAGAAACTGGAAATGGAAAGGAAGGGGAGTTTCAACTGACTTGTGGAAGAGCTCTGGAGCTTACAGCTTCCCAATGGAAGGCATAGCAGGCTAGGAGCCTGAACAGGGTAAGCGGGGCTGAACAGCCCTTCCCTCAGGCAAGGTGAGGCAGCCACCTCAGGCGGGAAATGAGGCAGGGAGCGCTGTGGATGTGTTCAAGGGCGGTGCTGTGTGGAAGCCACACAATCTGTCCTGCACCCCTTAAGTGAGCTTGGAGGCCTTCGGTGTGGGGAAGGGAGCTGTTATCCCTTCACAATGGTGGCTGTCTGACCACTTTTTAACATGGAACGAAAAGAGAAGGTAACCATTAGTGGGGAATCATCGGGATGGCGGCCAGTGACAAGCAAGGCCCCCCAGGGCTCTGTCCTGGGGCCGATCCTGTTTAATCTTTTCATTAACTACATGGAAGAAGGGGTGAACAGTCTGCTGATCAAATTCGCAGACAACACTAAAACTGGAGCAGTGGCCACAACTGAGGAGCAGGTACTCTGGATCCAGAAGCATCTGGACAGACTGTGGAAGTGCGCAGGAGACAACAGGATGGTGTTCAATGTGGATAAGTGCAAGGTCTTGCACTTGGGGCATAGGAATGGGTGTCATAAGTACAGGTTAGGGGACAAGTGGCTGGAGAGCAGCACTTGTGAAAGGGACCTCAGGGTGCTGGTTGACTGCAGACTAAACATGAGTCAGCAGTGTGATGCGGTGGTCAAGAGGGCGAATGCCACCCTTGGTTGCATAGCCAGAAGTGTGGCTTCTAGATCCAGAGAGGTATTACTACCACTCTATATGATTCTGGTACACCCACAATTGGAGTATTGTGTTCAGTTTTGGGCCCCTCATTACAGAAAGGATATAGCCAGGTTAGAGTCAGTGCAGCGTAGGGCCACAAGGTTGGTGGCCAGTTTGCAGGGGATGGGGTCTGAGGCTAGACTGAGGGAACTGTGTCTCTTCAGCCTGGAGAAGAGGAGACTCAGAGGGGATATGTTGGCGACATACAGGTATGTGAGGGGATGTCACATGGAGGTGGGTAGAGACCTGTTCTCCCCTGCAGAGGAAGGCAGAACACGCTCCAACGGAGCAAAGCTCAGGGAGCCAAGGTTTCGTTTGGATGCCAGGAAGCACTTCCTGACAGTCAGGACCCCGAGGGTGTGGAATGGGCTTCCACGAGAGGTTGTTGAGGCCCCATCGGTGAGGGTGTTCAAGGATAGGCTGGGCGTCCACATGGTGGTCACGTCGTGAGCGGAGGTCAGACTCGATGGCCCGGGAGGCCCCTTCTGACTCGCTCTGTTTCTATGTTTCTATGAGAACACCAGCTTGTTGCTTACCTTTGGCAGCAAACATTAGTTTTTTTATTTATAAAATTTCTGTATACCATTCTTACAGCCCTGCTGGATTTCTGAACAGTTTCTTCTGCTGCCCCTGAGGGTTCAGTGAAGATATATTGTACTAGTGTACTTTCTTCTTTACTAGCCTGCCTGGTCACTGAGGTCACCTCCTGGCATGCTCCTGATGGTTCCTCAGGTACGTATGACCCAGCTAGATTCCACCTGGAGAAGCACCTTCAGTGCAGCATCTCCATTTCTCGGGGATTCCCTTCCCCCGAAGGTCACAGCATTGTTTTCAGCATTGCCAGAAAACATGCTTATTCCAGGAAGCCTTCCTGAGCTAGTTAGCCATGCTTTCTATTATTGTGTTTGATTCCTTTGATCTGCTTGATTCCCCTTTTCTGCCTGATCTTTGTATTATTCACCACTCTGGAATCTCCTTACCACAGTGTGGGGTGGCAGAGAAACGCTGTAAACACTTAAAATCTGCAGCATGTTGCTACAGATCTCACGTGTATAAATCAAACACAAAATACCCCTTCAGTTACCATTTTTTGGCCAGGCCAACATTCTGAAAATTGGAGTTAATATTTTCTTGCAGGGAAAGAGAGGGGAAAGCATGCCAATGCATTCCCAATGGAGAAGTGCACAAGTAGAGCCATGGTGCCCCACAAATCATTCCCTTTTCCTGGAAACTTTTTTTTTAAATAGACATGTGGAGGTAGACAGCCAAAGGACCCCCTATCAATGCCCATGAGCTACAGCAAACATTTAGCACCTCTGGTTCCCTTTTGCGTTGCTCACGGGTGCTTTTATTGGAATGCTTAGCCGGGGAGCGGTGATGACTCTATTGCGGGAAGTACCACACGTACACAAATAGTGAGGCGGGCTTGAGGGTAACCCCAAGCTTGGAGACCAATGGCACATGGCGATAACCTGGAAGCAAACCAATGAGAAAGAAAGATTTGATGAGAATGCACCGTGACGTCTAACACAGGGAGCAGACATCTGCTGGTAGATCTCTGGGTGATTTCCAGTAGATCTCCCAAATATTTAACAATAGTGGGTTATAGTGGAAGTGAGCAACAATAAAGCAGACATAGCTCAACCAAGCTGCGGGAGAATAACAGAAAAGCAGGGGAAATTTCCCAGAATGATTCACACTTCTTGATTCTCTGCATGAAAATCAAAACTCACAAACTCAAAGAAAACATTTAGGGTATAATCCTATGCATGTTTAGAGAGGAAAAAAGTCCAACAATTCCCAGCATGCCCCATGGCAGGCTGGAGCATGCTGGGAATTACAGCATCTTTTTTTCTCTTGCAGTCCTTAGATTGCAATCTGATACTTGTTTGCCTGGCAGAAAACCGCACTGAATTCAATAGGACTTTCTTCTGAGTTGCCACGTACTGTTAATTAATGGTCTTGATAAAGCATCCCAAGAATGGGGTAGTGACCCTAATTTAGATTAGGTTGGAGCTATTCCATATACACTAAAAATCAGTTCTAAAAACAGTGCCTTGAACACCTTTTCAAAATTTTGCTCTAGAAGCAGTACAGACCCCACAGTAAGAAATGAAGGTCTCCCTCCGAAGCCAAAACAAATCCACAAGGTTCAGTTTGTAGACTCTCAGAAGTATTTGGACCCTTGAATTGCATGAATATATCTTCCCTATCAGAATGAAGAGCATCACCCTCGTTTAATGGCTCGCTCCCAGCACCAAGGTTCTGATGCACACATGGAATGTACTTTGTTTTGCAAGCATGCAGCTGCATGTGGGGACAGCAGGTGGCGCAGTGGTTTAAACCACTGGGCTGGTAGATCGAAAGGTCGCCAGTTCGAATTTGCACAACGGGGTGAGTTCCCGTGCTCCGTCCCAGCTCCTGCCAACCTTTCAGTTCGAAAGCATGCAAATGCAAGTAGGTAAAAAGGTACCACTTCAGTGGGCAGGTAACAGCATTCCATGTACTTTGGTGTTTAGTCATGCCGGCCACATGACCACGGGGACTGTCTGCGGACAAACGCTGGCTCCCTCGGCCAGGAAATGGAGATGAGCACCGCCCCCTAGAGTCAGGCATGACTGGACATAACGTCAAGGGAAAACCTTTACCTTTACCTTTTGGCTGCATGGGAGTAGATGGCAACTCATGTAGAGGTTCAATGGCCATGATCCAACACAAGTATGAGGATGCTTAAATGGCCATAAGTACACTTACATCTCCATCGGCTCATAGCTTGTCTGCACATGCATTTATTTATTAGATGTATATCCTGCCTTTTTTTCTTATAAATAATTGAAAATGACTTACAACATTCTCCCGCTGCTCTCAATCTGATCCCCACAACAACAACCCTGTGAGGTAGGTTGGGCGAAGGGTCTGTGACTGGCTGGAAGTCACCCAATGGGCTCCATGGCTGAGCAGGGACTAGAACCCAGATCTCCTGAGTCCCAGAGCTGTGCTCTGAACCATACCACCACACTGGCTAGCTCATTCTATCAAAGGAAAACCTAATATGTTTCTGTAATGATAGGTAACTTGTTGTTTCCTTCTGACAAAGTAGGAATTAATTCAATTTAGCTCTTCTCGAAAGAAATAATCCTTGCTTGGCACTTGGGTAATGCTTTCTGTTTTGTATTGCTAACGTCATACTGGTAGATATGAATGTATTTGCATCTGTGGCATTTCTAGTGCACTGATATTGATAAATAGGTGTCTTTTCCTTCCATAATAAAGTTGTCAGTTGTAGTTTGATAGCACATAGACTTTGTCATCTCATTAGAGCCTAAATATTTTATGATGGTTCATGTGGTGTGAAATACAACATAATAATGCTATGGATATTTTATCGTGTTGCACATGTAATATTAAACTCAAAAGTAATACTTTATTAACTGAGTTTTATTGGGGGGATTGTAAATATGCAAAGAAACAACAAACCATTTGACTGATCTCTATCACACAAACTTTTAAATTATCCTAAAATGCCTGAATTAGTTAAAATGCAGCTTTGGTCTATGGCTGATTTTTGAACAATCTAATTCCTCTTAACAAACGCAGCGTATTTTTTACCCGAGTAACATTCAGTTGCAAGCCTGAAGGTGCATGCAGTGCCAGGCAACTGACATGAAATGGTGAGAGGGACTGGGGCAAAGAAAGGGAACATCGAGGTCTGTCCCACTTGAACTCTCCACCAGCCCACAGGGCTAAATGACCTCAGCTGCCCTTCAGAAAGGAAGGTCTGGTGTGCGTCTTGTACCAGGGGAGCTGACCGTGGTGCTCACATTCTCTGGAGGATTTTAGCCTGTGGTTCTTCCTGTATCTGCTGACTTCCATGACTACTCTAAGCTTCTTTGGGGGATCTAGTCAAGCCCCAGGATGTAAATAAGATAAACAACAGCATAAATCAGCACACATTTGCTTCTCACTAGGTCGCAGCCCCAGACTAGGACCCTCCAGATCTTCTGACAAGATCTTCTGTCCTTGGCAATAAATGGCACAGAGATAAATTTCTAGATGCTGTGCTTGGTTTTGCATTTGTCTTTTGAAAAGTCCTTAGGACTGAGTAAGATCAGGGATGCAGGAATGCCTTTTCTAACTAAACATTTGGAATTCCGCGTGATGATCGCCTTTCTTCACCCCAACTCCTTTTTATAGCTGGACATTTGTTGGACAAGGGGATTGCTCATGAAAACCCTCCTCAAGAGTGTCTTAGTTGCATTTTTTGCAAGGTTTTTTAGAAGGTTGTTTTTTTGTTTAGTTTTGGGACAAGCCAGAAAATTCTAAGGACCTTCATTTTATTTAATTTAATGCTGGGGTGAAAGGAAATAGGGATCAGGAATTCTCTAAAGAGGTGGACAGAGTAGGGAGCTCTGGAATCTGCATGTGGCTGCTGGCCTATCAGTTAGTCTCTTTTGGGGAATTTTGTAAAGAAGGGGCCCATCCACTGGGAAAGTCATATCTCTTTCCAGATCCACAAGAGGTCCTGATTCCCTGCCTGTCTTACTTCTTGGTTAGCACCATCTCCTTTGAGCTGGGTTTGGTCCCAGGGCCTACAGTCGCCCGCTAGTGCCCTGCATGCTTGCTACCTCGATGCTCTTACCTTTATTCATGCTCGTAAGGGGCAACGTAAATTGACCGAGGAAGTCATTGGCTGTTAATGCCATCTGATCTTCTACTACGAATCGTACTAAGGCAAGATCTGGAACCTGGACATTAAATGTGAATGTTTCGTTCCATCTAGGATTTAAAGCTGGAATAAACAAAAGAGGGAAAACTAGATGGAGAGACAATTAAAGCTTCGACTTCAGTCATGACTGGTGCTAGAACAATGCACAAAGACCTCTCCTTTCCCACCCCCTCAACAAATGCCAGCTACATATTTCAGAACCTTTACTATTATCCAACAGATTTTCACCAAGCTTGGCATCATAAAGAGAGGAGTCAATGAATTACAGTTGAACAGTTCTGAATTGTGAAGAAAATAATGTGATAGCATATTTTTGCCAGAACTCAACCACTAAAAATGAATGTGAAAAGAATCAAGCAGGTGCTTTCACCTCAAAATCTCAAGCTTTTAAAAAATAAATCTCTCCAGAAGACAGAAGGGCCATTACTGGTATGCTCATATGCACCACGCATAACCCAATAAGATGTTCCCTTGCACAACTGCCATTCATTTCAGTGGAGTTTACATGGCAGAAACACCTTCTGGATTGACCAGAGTGAACTTGAGTAATAAGGAAGGTTTCATACATTAAATTTTAGATACAGTCACTTCTCTTGATGCTTCTGGTCTTCTTTTCAAAGCAGAGTCAACACATCAAAAATCTGCACTCTTCTAGTCTTGTTTTTTATTTCCAGCATTTGATATGAGAACATTGATGCACAAATGCACTGATGAAGCAACATCGAAAAGCAAAATGCACATGACAGTTGTGGCAGTGTGGGTGCTCATGCCCACATCTGTAGAACATTGAAGGAAAGGAATCCCAGTGCAATCATGCACATCACATTATCAAGAGCACTTCTTTCCTTTTTTGCACTTTTCTGTTTTGCACATGCATATCTACACTTTGGTTACACAGAGATCCCAATGAACAGAAGGAACTGAAAACAGAGGGAGGTTGTGCTCTCCGCATTCAAGAATTCACCTTCAAAATTCTTCTGGTTAAGCCAGAATACAGGTGGGAGTGGAATGCGGGGTAGAGAGAACCAGAAGAGTAAAAGTGAAGGAGAAAGGAAATCCTTTGGTCCCTATTTGAGGGATGCAAATTCACTCAGATGACACAGCTCATGGTCCTGTGGTCAGACAATACTTTGCCACTTCTTTATGTGATGCACCATCACAAAGAGGTCAACCTCAACAGGCTTTGTAAGTTATTGAAGGAAACCCTAACCCTAATGCTGCTAGACTGAGCCTAGAGGGCCACAGGATAATTTGGAGTTCCAGCTTCAATTTTAGAAGCTTGCTCCATGGGTAGAGCTGGAAAGAACAGTGCTGGCTACAATTCCAAGGGAATAATAGCCACCTTGTCGACAGGCTTCTGGAGGTGAGAAAGACATCAGGAGGGAAGGAACTGGATCTTCCAGTGCACACCCCATCCTGGCAGAGCCTCTGCTTTCTCTCAGCCATCTAAATGTTTTGCAGTTTGGAAGAAACTTGTAGGAGACCTTCACCTCTGCCCTCCTCCTGCACTCAACAGAATACCCATTATCCTGTGAGTTTGGAGAGTCCTGGGCAGCATCCCTGGACTGTGCTACCTGCTTCTTAGCCAACTCAGCGTACCATTGTTCTTTACGATAGATGTTTGCTGTTTTACAGTATCTCCGGGAACACCATGGATTTCTATTTTGACCACAGGATCAGCTTTATTACTCTTGGAGAGGTTACTTGGAGGCAGCTGATATCCACTAATAATCTGCAAGAAGGAAGAAAAAACATAGCCCCAGATGAATGGATTGCTAACATGCGCAGAAGTGTTGACTCATGGCTTTATCATTTATCACGCATTTATCAGCTGGTCCATACAGTGGACACTGGTTCCCTCCAAAGCCATGACAAGGCAAACCTTAAAGTTCCAAGATGGCCGATGGTCCGAAGTTCACAAACGATGAGAGAATTGCTCCTCTCCAGTTACCTGCAGATGACCCAAGATTTTATACAATTCTTACTGAGTTTTGCTTCCCCTAGTTGCCTTTCTTTTTTCCTAAATTAAAAGGCCCTCAGCCTTTAGTCATTTATCCTTTGTGGAAGGGGGTTGTTGAAGAATTCACTCCATCCTGGATATCATAAATACTAATGCTGACTCTTCTCTGAGTGCCAACCCCTTAGGCTGAACTGTCCTCACATCAGGGCAAGGTACAACCTTCACGGACAGCCCTATGGAGATTGTTTTACAGTAGTCTAGCCATATTTGATTATAATTCATACCATCAGTATTCCCTCCATTTCTAGCATCCAGCCTATGAATACCATTGCTTCAGTTATCAAAACACTAGTGACTATGCACAGGAAGGAACGTGAAGGTTTGCAGAAGCACAAACCAAAACAAAACAAAAACTTGAGAAGAAGAGTTGGGGAAAAGGATCCAGAGGAGAACAGGTCAGTGAAAGCTGGACATGTTCAGTAGGTACAGAATACGGATTAACCCAGTCAAGGGAGGAGATGGAAAACCAGGCAGAGAACAGAATGGAGGGGCATGACCAGAGAGGAGCACTTCAAACTGCAACCTTTTCTTGCAGGCTCATCTTGTTCTTTTTAAGGGCCATTTTCTGTACCTGTACCAAAGCCAGGGTGGCCTTGTTTCCTGCTCTCCAGAGGACTGTATTTGAGTGCGTTCTCTATTTGAAGGCCTGTGTGCTCCAAACCTGGCTTAGAGATAAAGGATTGCTAAAGGTACTCTTGCTTGAACTTTGCCATCGTTGCTGCCCTCCCCTCCCTGCAGCCAGAATGCTCCCTGCCCCATTTCCTGCCTCTCCTAGGTCAATCTTCCACGCTGGGTGGGGGGCAGGCAGCGTGGTTCTCCCTGCACTGGCTGGGAGGGTGCGAGTTCTTCCAGGGCCCTGCCAAAGGAGCCCCTCCAAGGTCAGAGCGCTGCCTCCAACCTCAGAGGGATGCCCTCTGAGATACTTGCCCCAGGCCCATGGGGTTGCTCTCTTAAATTGCCCACAGTTAATAGCACCTGGACGACCACAGACATACAGCATACCTGGTCACCGTCTCCCCACAATGGTGATACGTCCTGCGTTTCTATTTAAAACCTAGCAATCATTTCTAAATGTGCACATATGCATATAAATTAGCATGTCAAATATGCAAAGCTGTGTCCTCTTCGGGTCCATGCATAAGTGGCCACCTTAACCAGATAAACAAAGCTGTTTTAGAAAGAGGTTGATTAACCCATTATGGTAATGTGCAGACTGGTAGTATATGGGACTGAAACTGAGAAGCTCCGTCCAGGCAGCTTGTAGCTGTATAGTTTATGTTTTGTATTTTCAGGCATCACACCAGTGCCTTGCCTATTGTGTCTTACAGTTCTGGAATAAGGGAACTGTACTTCTTTTTTAAGTCTCTATTCCTTGGGATAAGTGGCCATCACTAGGCCCTCATTTCTGTTTATTATAGAGTTGCACTTCATGCTGGCCCTCTTAGCAAATGATTTGGAAGACTGAGGTAGAAACAATTTGGTGAAAATTTGACCCAGAGATTTCATTAATACCTCCCAGATGAATTATGCCCTCTAAGTCAATGATTTGAATGTCATTCAAGGTTGCTTTTCAGTTGCATGTGCACAAGCACATGTGTTTGTGTGGTTATTGCCTTTCTAAACACTGGGCTGAGGTTGAATTTACCCTGCGTTCTGCTGTTTTAAGTTTATCTTAGTCTTTTTCTTTTTCTTTTCTTTTTACTCTTCAGTATAGCATGTTGTTACTTTTTATTACTGTGAACTGTCCTTCTGCAACCAAGAGTTCTCCAGACATGTTGGCCTGCAAATCATCTCGTGCTGGTATGAATAATGGGAGTTGTGGTCTGATATACCTGGACAACACCAGTTTTGGGGAAAGCTTTTGTAAAGTATTCACAGCTCAAACAATGAAGCGTGTTCTGCACATTTCGTCAATCAATCAATCAATGTTTGAATGCTGAGTGTTCTTATAACTGAATACCTCATTTCCAATTACATACGATATAGCTGGTGATATTTTCCAGGACAACTCAATCCCACGAGGAAAGCTTTTTAATGCTGGATATGACACAGCTCTCTATGGTGTGATAATCTTTAAATCTCCTGGTTCTTCCAGCATTATAACCATTTGCTTTACTAAAAGAGTGTTCTAACATCATCTCCTATAGAGCGCAATCTCACTTCGTGTCAACAACAGGAATCCTCCATTAACTGCTGTGGAAGGAGGGAAACCATCGGTAATGATATATGATTTAAATGCTTTAAAAAGAATTCACTTCCCAGAAACATAAAAATAAAATAGATCGACTCAGTGCAGGGGCCTCCAGGACCTACGACGTGTTGGTGGACAACTGGGAGACATGAAACTGTGTATAAAGGCTGGATGGAACCCCCTGCTCTCATCCTATTCGCTCCGCATTAATTGATCTCTCAGTGGCTCTGTAGTTCATAGATCTTTGAGGGGACTTCAGAATATAATCAGGGTTTTCTTAATCAGAAGATTGCTCATGGCAGACAAACCACTACAAAATAAAATCTGTAAGAACAGCACAGTGTTACAGCTATTTGTCATGTGGGTGTGAGAGAGAATTTTAAAATCTTTTGTTATTGCTAGGATTATACTGGTGAATACTGTATATTTAATTTCTTCCTGCAGTTGGAACCAGACTTAGTCAAATCAATGGGAATTAAATGGGACTTGGGTATGTTAGAAGTATGAGCTGGTGCAAGTCCAACCCAGAATATTAAATGGTCCTTTTCTATCACCTCCCAAAAAAGCTTACCCAAAGTTGTTGTCATTTGCAGTAGCAATAAAAAGAAAAAAAATGGGTTGGGCAAGGACAGCTTTTTGATCAAATATTGACATGAAAACATTGGGTTGGAATCAGGCTTAATCATGACTGGAGTAGACCCACTGAAAACAATAGGACATGTAAGTCATGAACTTCCATTCCATTAATTTCAGTGGGTCTACTCCAAATATGAGTAAATCTGGACCTGGTCATTAGCTATTGGAAGAGCTGTGCTAGGTCAGACCTGGCATCTCTTAGGAAGCATCCTGTTTCCAAAGAGCAGTTAGCAAAATGGCCCTGGAAACCCTACAAGGAAGGCATGAAGGCAGCAAATCTCACTCACTCCACGCCACGAACACCAGGCAGTGCCAGCTCTGAAAATGATGGCTTCGTTTAGGTAGTAACACCAGTTCTTCATGAATTAGCATAATTCTCTTTCAGAACTACCTCAGCTACTGCCCTTCATTACACCTTACAGGAACTTATTCCACTGATGTAACTATGCACTGAGTCAAGAAAGACTCCTAGGAACACAAGACAAGCCCGGCTGGATCAGACCAGAGGTCCATCTAGTCCAGCATTCTGTACACATGGCGGCAAACCGGTTTCCCACAGGATCCCTCCAGCAGGATGGGTGTGAGACCTCCTCCTGCCCGAGCTCCTCAGCAACCAGTGCGTGCAGGCATCCCATCTCCGGTGAAGGAGGGAGCACATGGCCAGCAAGGCTAGTGGCCACTGATAGCCTCCTCCTCCATGGATCTGTCCAGCCCCTTTCATCTGATGGGTGACCATCTCCACATCCTCTGGCAGCTGAACTATATGCTGTGTAAAGAAATCCGTCCTTTTATCTGTTCTAAACCTCCCACCAATCAGCTTCATGACTGCCTATCACTTTCACTGAAAGCCGCCACCACCCAGAAAAATAAATTTAATGTCATGGGGGATGGAGAAAAATCTCTGGATTTGTTTCAATGCATTTAACAAAACATTGACAAAACCATTCGTAGAAGCTGGCACCCATAGCAAGAAGTGCTTGTTCTGTAACCAGACTGAAAAAGAAAAACACCCTCAAAGCACCCCACTAAAAAACAGTGGTATTTAATAACCTGCCAAATGTCTTTGATAACTATTTGCAGCTAGCTAGCTGTGGAATTTATAGTATTCAAGGTATAGTATTTTCAACAGTACACATAGGGAAGTACCAGGAAATATTGCAGATAATAAATCAAACTTGCTTGATTTATTTTTGTTCCAACAGGCAATTTTCCAGACCCATCTCTGTATATGAACATCATGGCCTGCCCCTGAAAGGTTTAATTCAATTTGCCATTTTTATGTGCTCACAGTAATGTTCTAAATTGTAGCAAAAGAATGACCTAGATGTACTGGGAATGAAATTCATGTAAATAACCGCCTTTAATGGGGTTGCCTTTAAGCAGACCGCAAGAACTTTGGGAAATCCAGTTTAGCTCTTGCATGCTTCATATTAGCTTCCATCCCAATATCATTCTAGGTCCTCAGTTATGGGCACTAGATCCTTTTAATTTTGCTGAGCTTTACCAGAGAGATAGCAGTCTGTCCTGTGGCAGAAAGGCAGAAGAAGCAGGCCTTCTCCATGGTGGAAGCCACCTTCTGAAATGCCCTCCCCTGGTATTTGAGAAATGGCAACTAGAGCATGCTTAGGTGCAAGGTGAAAACCCAACGCTTTGCCCAAACCTTCCACCAGTGAGTGTTCTTTCATATATTCTAGGGAGCGGTCCTAAGGACGGTGCCCTCATGGAGGCCCCTACAATTCCTATACCCTGCTGGCCTGAAGCTGACAGGGTGCGGGAAGCAACAGAAGCCATTTTCCCCTTCCCTGTCCTTCAACCTTGGCTTGTTTTCAGTGTGTCTTGCTTTGGAAAGGGACTGACAAAGGCTGGGGAGGTTCCATATGCATGATGGCTTCCCTGGTCTTCCTTCCCTGTCCACTAGAGCCACCTATTTTCTCCTGTCTGGGGTTGGCATCAGACCACGGAGAAGCAGCCCTTGGAAAGCTGGTGGTAGATCTCCTACTCCTCCTTCTGAGATCCATGCACTGCCTCTGATCTCAGAGGATGGAATCAGACCAGGGATGGAATCAGTTCCAGGGACCGCAGGATGCCTCTCCCTAGGCATTTAATGCTAGAGAAGGAAAAAACAGTTCACCTGGTACCAGATGAATTCCTGAGCAGCTGTTGCCCCTAAGGGAAGAAGAGCCAGGTTCTGAGACACGTGCCTGACATACAACCCCGGGCAAGTCTGGCCATACTCGGGGATTACAATGGCCCTCCATGTGACGAAATGGTGTGTGAGGCAGCTGACTGGCCATGGCACACGGCAGCCTTGCCTCCGTCGTCTGCGTCATCAGCCAGTGTGTGAAGGAGCTCTACATTGTTGTAACCCCCCTCTTAATCGAACATGCAGCCAGGGCATGGCTCGTCACGGGTAAAGAGCATGATCAGGGTGTCCTGTTCGCGTGAGAACAAGAACCCCAACGAATGCGCACGCTACGCAAGGCTGACCACACAGCAGGCTACGCTCCAGCATCACCGCAGACGTTACGCCCTTGTACCCTCGCTTGCTTTAGCATGAAAAATGTGCAAGTGGGGCTCAGTGGGTTTCCCCTATTGTTCGCTGTTATTCAAGCACCTGCATAGCCGTCCGTTGTAAAAGAGTATAAAAACCCTGCTTTCCTTCTGCTCGGGACCGCACTCTAACGAGTGTTGGTCCCTGTGCAGGTAATAAAACTCCTCTCGAAAATTCCAACTGGTCTCTGGTCTCATCAGTAAAGCCGCGGGACACAACATACATGCCAGCTGAAGGAGACATGTGGACCTTTTTCCTCCTATTGTGTCGTGCTTCCCTTTGTGTGAAGGAGTTCTATTGATGTACATTGTTCTATTGAGAGCCTTTAAGTGCCCCTCCAACATACGGTCAATGAGAAGTATGTGCGACTGCAGGAGGGATTGGGCTCTGCCCCCAACACATCACTCCATATGTTTCTTTTTTGTTGTCTAAATTGTGCATTGGTCACTCTTTTGAAGGGGAGGAAGGATTAGGATTCTGCATACAAATTTCTAAAAAGAAAGGGGGGAAGCATCACTGAAACAGTGGACACCGGTTTGCATCAGATTTGCAGGTGCTAATTTGCACGTTGATATGCACCTTTAGGAAGGATTGTTGAAATTTCAGTACAAATGCCTCTCACGGTGGAGGGCTGTGGCCAAGTGGCCCTCATGCCTCACTTGGTCTGCTGTGCAGGTGCTCTTGAGGGGCAACTCCAAGGTCCAACTCTTCCTTCTGATGGTGCTTAGTCTTTAAACTGGATGTGGACTGGAAAGCCCTTCAGAGAAAGGGCAGCATCAAAACAGGGGGCAATCCTTGCTCAGGCCTTATTCAGTGGAGGGCTGGCCTCTGTCAAAGAGGTTGCAGGCCCACCCTATGAGTGACAGCGGCTGAGGAGCATTCCCGCCAAATAAATGTCAGCCACTAGGAAGGGCTTCCAAAATCCCTTCTCCTACCACTGCTACTACACATAGAAACAAAAGTGGTACTAAAAGAAAGGGGAGAACCAGTGAAAATCAGTGCAACAGAATGAATATGGGCCTCGTGACTTGTAAAGCAAGACATGCGATGGCATAAGAAATGAATTACAGAATGAGAACGTGTTTTGTGAAAACAAGGAAAAACTTAACAAGAACCCCAAAGGTATTTAACAGCAGTAGACCTCCATCTTTCAGAAGAGGAAAAGCCCTCCAAGAAGGATTGATGGGGTCAGGAGTTCAGCGTCTGCTCCTCCAGGCCAACAGTGCTATGGTTCTCCCAGCACCAGTGATAGCCTCTTGTCCAAAAGTGCCCAAGCCACACGGAAACAGGGTGAGCAGAAGTAGGCAGCCCCACTGTGGAGGAGACAGGCATGGGACTGTAGGTAGATCAAACTCTACTTGTCTCCCAGTATCTGGAAAATGGGTTGGACCATTGCCAGGCGGCATCCCAACTGGCTAGGCCAGGGAGGGGGAACCTCTGGCCCATGTGCAGCCCAAGGGGAATCCCCATCTGGCCAACAATCTTACTTCCCACATGGGAAGTGGGGCTTTAAAACGGGTTGCGATGCAGGGGGCCTTTAGGGTTGCTGTTGGAAAGGAACAGACCCCTCCTCTCTTCCCCAGCCGTGACTCCCCCCACTGACACACACACACATTGTTCAATGCCCCGCCCCGCACTGCAATTCTTTAACACCTCAACTTCCAGCAAGAACTGATTGTAATATGGGAAGACTGTTGTCGGAAATGTGAATGAATGTGTTTGTGAGGCGGTACTTTGTGTGGTGTGTGTGTGTGGCTCCAGATAGGCCTGCCCAGGTCATTTTGGCCCGGGGCTCAGAAAGGTGCCCCAGCCCAGAGCTGGCCTCCTGCCCTTGTGGCGGCAGGGAGACCGAGGGCCAGCAGGGGAAAGCGGGGACTTGCCCACTTTGCAACCCCATTGCTCCAAGGCCACGGGGCAGGGATCAAGGCCCCGCTCCGCCAGGAACGCAGCCGATGCTACGCAAACGGTTGAGACTTCCATGAAGTGGGAATACACAACATGACACCAGAGTGTGCAATAACTGCTAATGAAGACTGAGTCCAGTCCATCAGACATCACAGTGAAAGGCAGAGAAGGGAAAGATAAAAGGCTCCACAAAAGCATCTTACCCTTATGGTCAGTGTGACTGGATTGTACTTCCCAACTACATCAAATGGGTCGAACACTGTGTCCTTCCTTCTCAAGAATTCTGGTTTTAAGACGAAGCCGCTGCCACCATTGTCCAAAAATTTCCCCATGAGTAGGTCCATTTGTACGCCAGGGGTTTGGAAATTTAAGGCCACTGAAGAAGGTGGGGTGGGGAAAGAAACATAATCTCAGTCGCAAACCGCACAAGATATGGACTTTTTATCATACTGTACCAACAGAATTTATTTATTTATTAGATTTATATCCTGCTTTTTCTGTTTTAAGGAATTCAAAGTGGCTTGTATCATTCACCTCTTGCTGCTCTCAGTCTTATCCCCACAACAGCAACAGGTTGGGCTGAGAGGCTGTGATGGCCCAGAGTCACCATGAGGGCTCTGGGGCTGAGCGGAGATTTGAACCCAGTGCTGAGTTCTTAACCACTACACCACCGGGGCTCTCCTGCGGTTACTTCCACCCACCTCCTTTCCTTGTATATCTTGCAAGACTGATGAAAAGGCTCTCTCTTTTTGATTGACATGAGGCCTCCAAAAAGTGGGATACAAGTACAGATATATAGATTAATTCCGGCATGGACTACACTCAGAAATGCTTGGACATCCATAGGGCAGCAGAGGGGAGAAGCTTATCCTGACACAGCTTTAGCAACTGCTGACATGAGAACAACCTCAAATACTTCTCTTTTCAGAAGACTGGTTCAGAACTTTTCAAAACTTCATGGGAATAAAATTGCTCCTTCCGCCCATCACCCATTCAGTTCTGCTTCCTGCAGTGACATTTATAAAGCGTCCAATTTTCTGCAGCGCTGGCTGCATGATTCCTGAGTGGCATTCCATTAATGATGCTTTCATGCCAAGAGGATGTCCATGGCCAACAATGGATCCAGTCAACACTTTTGGTGCCAAGGAATTAATGCCATAAAACAGATCAATTTGTCTTTTGTTATACATCACACAGATGCCATTAAGGAAGACCAGCAATAAGCCTGACAATGGTTGTGCATTGCACAAAAGGAGAAGCAATTATTTCCTCCACCACAGCTGCTGCAGGACGAAGCAAAATGTGCCATTGCATATGATGAATCTGTGGCTACCTTTCCGCTTGCAATGTGAGGGACTAGATAAGCAGGGGATATTAGATGGTGTGCTGAGGAAAGGAGACCTAGGCGGCCTAATTTGGAAGGCCAGAATAGTGGAATTGCTATTGCAGAATCTGAGAATGAGAAATTGCCATAGACCTACCACCCCGATGGATGCACTGTCAGCAGGGCCACCTCTAGACAGACCATTATCTGTCTGTCCACCTGCCTGTCTGTCTTTGTACCGATCTGCCCACTGATCTAGCCATGCACCTATCTATTCATTCCAACAACAGCCAAAGCTCTCTGAGAAGTTCACAATTAAAGCCATAAAATAGAGCAGGATAAAACAAAATATAAAACTTTTAAAACTTTAAAACTACAATATAAAACTAAAGTCAAACCAGCAGCAGAGTAAAATTAGGAATACAGTTACGTGGAGATTTGCTGCCAGGGAACTAACTACATGGAAAGACCCAACTTAAGTGGGGGAGTACTTAAGCACTTCCTGACAGTTGGGATCCCCAGGGTATGGAATGGGCTTCCACGCGAGGTGGCTGAGGCCCCAGCAGCGAGGGTGTTCAAGGATAGGCTGGACATGCACATGGTGGGCATGTCGTGAGTGGAGCCGGCTGGAGCCAGGGATCAGACTAGAAGGCCCAAGAGGCCCCTTCTGACTCGCTCTGTTTCTATGTTTCTACCTCACAGGGTGGTTGTTGTGAGGATAAGATTCAGAGGAGGACGAGGAGGAGTCTTATGTAAGCTGCCTGGAGTTCCTTGGAAGGAAAAAAGGGTGGGATATAAATATCATAAATAAATAACAACCAGCCTTTCTCCCATTCAGCTGTCTTCCCTTTAGTACCCCATGGAGCATCAGCACAGCTAAACTCAGCAATAAATAGAATCTGAGCTTTAATAAAACCAACAATTCCCCATTTTGCCACAGCGATGCCCTTGTTCAGTATTGAACTAGATGCCTCAGTATTTTTTGTCTCTGTCAGTGTGCTCCTTCATTCCCTGGCTCACAATAGCAATCTAAAAAGCATTTCCTTCCTTCTCTGAACAGTTATCCCATTTGTTATACAATTATTGTTTCCCAAAGATGTTCACATTCAAAAAAACAGTAGAAGAGAGAGGGGCCCTTTCATTGGACTGGAAAGGGGCAGGGATGGAGGGAAAGGTAGAGCAGAGAGAAACATCTTCAAGGCCAGAACAAAATGGTAAGTTATGAGTATACAGTTTACACCACGCTGACTTTCCCTTGCTGGTGTTTTTCCTTGAATGGCAGGCAGTCGCTCTTGCTCCTTTGCTGGCAGAGGAGGCCACAGTGTTCTGTTTAGGGCCAGCCCAAGCAGGAGTGAGGCAGCCACCACAGGAAGCTGATTTTGGGGGACATCAAAGGTCTGAAAATGGTTAGTTATTTAAATTGTTGTAACAATTATATTTTTGTGGTTGTGACATGCTGTCAAGTCATCTCCAACTTATGGTAACCCTATGAATGCATCCTCTGGAATCTCCTGTCCTTTCTGCTCAGGTCTTGTCAATTCAAGGCTGTGACTTCTTCTGCCCTCAACTTTCCCTCGCAGGATTGTCTTCTCTGGTGAGTTTTGCCTCCTCATGATGTGCCCAAAGTGCAAAAGCCTCAGTTTTGTTGTATTGGCTCCCACAGAAAGCTCTGGTTTGATTCAATCTTAGACCTATTTTTTGGTCTGTCATTCCAGAGCATTTGCAAAAGTCTGCTCCAGCTCCTTGTTTCAAACACTTCAACATCTTTCGGTCAATTTCTTCAGCTTTCAGACCCATACATAGTATTGAGGAATGCAATGCTGTGCATGATCTTGGCCTTGATAGCCAGGGAAGCATCCTTGCATTTGATGGACTTTTCTAGCTCCTTCATGGCTGCTCTTCCAAGTCTCAGTCTTCTAATTTCTTGGTTGCAGTCTCTGTTTGAATTGATGACTGAGCCAAGATATGAAAATGTTTCACAGTTTCAATTTCTTTATTGCTCACACTAAAGTTCTATAATTCTTCTGTCATCATGATTTTGTTTTAATCTTCAGCTGCAGAACTGCTTTTGCACTTTCTTCTTTCATGTTCCCTTCGTTGCTGCTTTCTGCTAGTAATAAGATATTGTCTGCACATCTTGCATTACTGATGTATCTTCCACCAATTTTCATTCCCCTTTTCCTCTGATCCTAATCCTGCTTTCCCTATGATACATTCTGTGTATAGATCAAACAAACAAGGATACAGAATACATCCTTGTCCAACAATTTTTCTTATAGGAAACCATCCTGTTTCTCCATATTCTGGCCTAACAGTAGCTTCTTGAGCTTCTTGTCCATGATACAGATTATGCATAAGGACAAGGAAATGCTGGGCACACCCTCTTCTTTCAGGACCATGCATAGCTTCTTGTGGTCTGCACAGTCCAAGCTTTTCCCTTGGACTGCAAAGAAATAAAATCAATCTATCTCAAAGGAAATCAACCCTGACTGCTCTTTAGAAGTTCAGATACTGAAGATGAAACTCAAATTTTTTGGACACCTAATGAGAAGGAAGGACTCCCTGGAGAAGAGCCTGATGCTGGGAACAATTGACAGCAAAAGGGGACGGCAGAGGACAAGGTGGCTGGATGGGGTCGCTGGGGCAGTGGGTGTGGGCTTAGGTGGACTCCAGGGGATGGTGGAGGACAGACGAACCTAGAGGGATGTTGTCCATGGGGTCTTGATGAGTTGGACATGACTTTGCGACTAAACAGAACAGCAAATAGGAACTGATCTACTAAAACTCATTGGTACAAGCCAGTGAGTATAAAATGTACATAAATGTATATAAATTACCTTTTATACAAAATGTAAAATTGTGATGTAAATATAAGATTTGCAAGATATTCTACCTCAGGTGGCAGAATGATCTGTCCAACTTGGGGTACCATTACCCTTGATTTCATGATGAGGCAGCATTTTCTGTTCTTCTTCAGGCAACAAAATGTCTTGGGACAGCCCTGTTTTTGTGGTCCCAGAGCATCTATTTATTTAAAATGTTTCTATTATTTTCAAAAAAATCTCTAGATGGGTCTGAGAGATCTTCCTGGCAGCCTCGCAAACCAATCATTTCAGTTCCCTGCCCATTTTTTATCTCTGAGCTCCCATGAGCTGATCCAAAAATTATTGGGTTTCTGGAGGCAAAGAACAGAAGGCACCTCAATCCCATTCCAGCTTCAAAAGCTGATTGGACTGGGAGGAGATTCTACCTTCTGCACTGACAAAGGAAGACCAAATTTTACTGCACCCAAAAGGAGCAAGTTTGTTTAGACGGTCCAAAGAAACACACTTCAAGAAACATGCAATTCTTTTCTCCAGCACCTGTTGCCAACTCACAGCACCTGCTGCCTGATGCCACCTGTCACAACTGCCTAATAGTAGAGCAGGCCTGGCCTGAAAGTATAACGATAAACAGAATGCAGTTTTAGATTAAAAACACCTACCCATTTGGCACCCAACGTTCCAAAATTCCTGTGGATCGTAATTGGAAGAGTCTGTCCTGGTTCCTTTGGGATAAATCCTTGTGATGAAGTGGACTGTGTGTAAGACAAACTCAGGGGCTGCAAAGAGATTTTTAAAATTCATGTTCAAGAGACACATAACGCTGCACAACTTTTAAAACTCAAGCTGTTGTTAATATGGAAAAAGTGAGAGAATGTTGTGTTTGTGATAATTCACTACACAACATTCAGTTCGATGTGTTTTTTCCAGAATGTTTCCTTGCATCTCTTTTATGAGTTCATATTCAAAGGCTATACATAAAACGTGCATAGACAGGAGCCCTAGAAACGGACATAGCCCTGAACAAGCTGTGGATGATGGAAGATTAGAATATCAGGCATAGTGTTCTAGAAGAAATCCCACCTTTGATTTTAAAACAAAAATCCCACATGGTTGCAGAGAGAAAGTGTGGTGTGCTTAAAACAAGTAGAGTTTATTTGAAGTTAAGAACCTCTATATCCCATTCATTTCAATGGGAAAAGTACACCAATGCTGAATTCTTTCCCATTGAAATTAATAGGGCATAAAGTGCTTTATTTGCTGGACCAGGGCTGCATTCCTTGTTCCAAACACTGAAGCATCTTCAGATATACCAAGCTTCCCTCAGAGAATAATTGCTCCATAGTTCCAGCAACAAAAGCTCAGAGCTGATTCCTCCTTTGAAATAAATGGTGAAGCCATTGTGACCAGGGGAGCGCTCTGTGCACAGGACAATTCCATCCCTGAAACAAATAACTGAACTGGGACAGTGGAGGACATGGAAAAGTGGACCACCGACTCTGTTTTTTCAAAGTTTCATAGCACATGTTTCTCTAGGACAATAAATCTTCCACATTACCTCTCTTGCCTATGAGTTTCTGGCCTTTCACTTCTCCAATGGAATTATTTTGATAAAATTTCTGTTTCTGCCTCGAATCTTCAAAGTTGACAAACTTGCGAGACGCGGTGAAAATCACAAGTTCGGACAAGAGCAAAGCCACTTTCACCTTATGCTGTGAACACAGGTTAACAAGTGTCATGTCATGAGGAAACCAAGATGATCTGGCTGCATGCATGCCAGTCCCTCTTTATTCAGTGGCGTCTGATCAGCAGCTCATGATCAGGGAATATCAATGACTATTGCTCCAAACAGTTGGGAATCCAGACCTGCTAAACAAATGAGGGCTGCAAGAAGTGGAGAAACACAGAGACAATAAGATCTGGTCTCATTTGTAATTAGTCCTGGTTGAAGTGTTGAGCTAGGGCTGGGAAGATCCAGGTTCAAATCCTTCCACGGCCAAGAAGATCTCCTAGGTTGGCCAAGCCCTATTTTCAAAGAGGACGGTCCTTTTTATTCACAGGAACGTCTGGCCTGGTTTAGAGACAAAGGAATTCTGAATGGGCCTCAAAGCAGATTCTAGTAACATCAGCAGTATCTGGAAAGTAGAGTGATGCTACTTTCAATTGCGTCACAGTTACAGATCTATAACTGGGAGCATGAAATAATGGATTTTCACAGCTCAGCCCCCATGCTTCTGGTTTGCCAGCCCTGTACTGGCACCAACTCTGTCTGGTGCAAGTAGAGTTTGCTTGCAGAGTCCTAAGATCATGGCTCTAAGATAGGCTGTGATTTTCTGAATTAAAAAGAAGCACTAAGGACATGAAATTGGCTGATACGTGCACTTTGCAGGATGACTGTGTGCTTCTCAGGTGCAAATTTGTGCAAAACACCTAACCTTATGCAAATCACGCTAGATCAATATGCTAATTCCGCTAACTTGCTTGGGTTCAGACAACAAGATAACCCATGTTTCAACAACAATCCACAGTTCAATGGGAGGGGAAATGGGTGGAATCATGTAAGACAGCCAGAGACCTTTGGGAAGTGAAAGATCTATAAGCTTGTGTGTGGGGAAGTCTAAGGACAGAAAGTAATCCAGTGAGCAAAAGAGAAGCCAACCTGAGATTTGCAACCTGCAGGCCAACAGTTGGCGGAGGTGGACTGGAAGTGCTTGCTGCTTGCTTTTGAGGGACTAACAAGGCTGTTTTGAGTCCACACAAACTGGGTCCCTGCACAGGGGGCTTCCCTGCTCCTTGCCCTCCCGCCCCTTGAGATCGGCAGCAGGGGCCCTCCTCCGGGAGCCTTCCATGAGAGATATCAGGAAGCAAAGCACCCAGAGGAGGGCTTTCCCTGCGGTGGTGCCCCATCTGTGGAATGCATTCCCCAGAGAGGTCCGCCTGGCACCATCATTATTTGTTCTTTGGCGCCAGGCCAAGACCTTTTTATTCAAACAGTATTTTAATAATGTTTAATATGTATAGATTTTAATTGTGCAGCCAGTGTGTTTCCAGGTTTTAATTGTAATCGTTATAGTTTCATTTATTTATTTCTGTGAGCCATCCCGAGGCTATGTAGCAAGGCGACAGCATATAAAAAAACTTTAAATAAATAAAATAAATAAATAAACTTGTAAATATGCTGTATATGTGTGCAAATCTCAGTGACTGAAAGCTCGCAGTCTTGCCTCCAGGAGGAGGGCCGGAGAACATGCATGAAACCTTGGAGATCTGCTGCCAGTCAGGGCGGCCACCAGTTGGCTGAATGGACCACTGGTCTGGTTAACTAGGAGACAAGCTGCAAGAGCTGAGCCACGGCACCGCTGACAGGAAGGACTCCATTGCTGAGGTGAGACGGGATCCGGGTCAGGCAAGAGGTGGGCACAGCAGCAAAGAGGAGGCCCTGTGGTGCAGAGGCCCCTTCCAGAGGGAAGAGCTGGCTCTGGTATAGCTCTTCCCCCGGGGCTCCCAGCTGGCTCTCTTTTGAGGCCGAGAGCCCCACAGCAGGGTCTGGGACTGATCCAGCAAATACTGAGGCGAGCTTCCGGCTCTGGCTGCAGTTGCAGCTCCAGAGTAGCTCAGACCCTGACAATTGCTTGGAAACAGACAGTGCCACCTCCAACAACTGGGCACTGGGACCACACTCACTTTGTCCTTTTTATCTTTCTTGGATGCTTTCCGGGTCATTGTTCTCTTTAGCAAAAGCCCTGTAGGGTCTTCATCCAGATCATCCTCGGATGCTGAGGCCTCAACTTCTCCCGTCAGACCCCGGCATCTCTCGCCCATCCGCTGAAGGGTCTCTTCCAGTGTTCCCACTTTCTTGTTTTTTATCAGGATTTTGTACTTCAGTTGCTGCAGAAAGAAATATCTGTTCTTAAACCACAGAGCTGTACTGTGCAGTGCAAAACAGAAAGGGCTCAGATTCCAAAATTATTGTACTTTAAAGCCCTTACTGTGAGAGCAAAGCCTTAGGAGAGAGATTCCAGCCATTTAGAAAGGGGGAAAGCTCCCCCCACAAGTAGACAGGAGAAAGACCTACATTTCCTAGCATGCACCTGCTTAAACATGTATAGGATTGCACCCTAAATCAGCTTGTATAGTGTCTAAGTTCCCTGAGTGCAAACTACACCAGCACGTACCATGAATATGACAACATACCAGCTATGTTCTTTGACCCACAACCTTCATTTTACAAGAGGGGTACAGCGTTTCTGTTACCTCAGGGTAACAGGGTACCTCAGGGTATCTCAGGGAGAGTCCAAATCCGTTTCAGGGAGGGGGCTGTCACGGACTGCATTTTGCTGGCGAGCAGAGCCCATGGGAAAGGGGCAAGGCCAAAATACCCCAAATGCCAGACCTGTTTTAGCTTCAAGCTCACCACCAGCAACTACATCTTAGGAGAGGCTTTTGAACATTCTAGAGGGGAGAAGAAAGTGCAGAAACGATGGGGAGCCACAGAGCCAGCAGTGGCTGCCGGAAAGCTGGTGTGGCCTCTTGCAAAATTTTCGGGGACCACACTGAGAATGCTGGCTGGGGGTTCCTCACTCTGGTTTCATAGGCTCCAGAATGAAGGAGAACAACAGTGGAAGGATGGGATGGAAGGGGATAGGCCAGGTTAGAACAAGACTGAAATTGATCAGGTGCAGCGTGGGCTCTGTTTTCTACCTCCACCTCAGGTATTGCAAGCTCCCAAGAACCATTTTCAACTGAAATGGTGGGCATTTGCTAGGGAATTGGTAGCAGTAATAGTAGTATTTCTATGCCATCCAATAGCCAAAGTTCTCCGGGTGGTGTATCATAATTAACAGCATTGCTAAAATGCTATACAAAATATAAATTAAAAAACAGCAAAAATTGCTCTAGAGGCTTAAAACAACTTCAGCAACTTAAACAGCTAATGCAGGTTCATATTTGTTTGTGTGTTTGTTTGTTTAAAACAATTATATGCCGTCCTTTATGACAACGTCTCAGGATGGCTTAAAACATTAAAATTGAATAACAATCAAAACAGTCCATAAGCAATAACAATAAATAGGAATGACAGAGAAGTAATAAAAATACAGACAGATAAAATTTGATAAAAGAAGCAACTATATAGCTTGGCTTGCCAAAAAAAAAAAAAGCTAATAATAACAACCCCAATCCCTTTTGCTGTGCACAGTATTGAGAGCTGTTAAATGCCTTGGCATAGAGGGCAGTCTTAGCCTGGAGCCCAAAGGATAGTAAAGTTGGCTTTCAAGGGAGAGATCATCCCATAATGTGGGGGTTACCACAACGAAAGCCTTCCTCCGTACGGCCACCAAGCAAGCCTTCCTTGGAGATGGTATGCCAAGGAAGGCCTCAGATACTGAGTGCAGTGTCCAGGTAGATTGTAGCTGGGAGAGGAAGTTCATCAGGTATCATGGTCCCAAGCCATGTAGGGTTTTATAGGTAAAAAACAGCACCTTGAATCAGGCTCAGGATATAGGCAGCCAGTGCAAGCAGGCCAGAATTGGTGCTGTGTCTGGACCCTTTGATCCTGGCTATTAATCTGGCTGCCACAATATGCAGAAGCTACAACTTCCTAACAGTCTTCAAGGACAACCCCACATAACTAGATTGCAGTAGTCTAGCAGAGCAGAGATTACTGAAGCTAGGCCACCCTGTCCAGATGCAATGTTTGCAGGCATCTATGGGCTTTTGCACACCATTTTTCTCCAGGAGGAGAGGGATAGAGAAAAAACGGTTTTTACATCTGGGGATGGTAGTTCTGCCGGCATGCTGCCGTCGATGGTCGAAACGCAAAGTGTATCCCGGAGAATGTCCAGCAAATGAGCTGCCATCCTTTCCTGCTGAGTCGGGCTGCAGTGGTTCTCCAGGGAGAGAACAATAGGGTAATCCGATGCCTAGAAATAGAGAAGATACAGTCATGTGGGCCGCATTCACTTGCTTATACAGACAGCACACAAGGAAAAAGCAACCCTCATGCGGAGACTATAGCCAGAGAAGGCTGTATCTGTCTGCAGATCTGTTTCTGAGCTTTCTCCTGGTGCCTCGAAGCTGCAATGGACTACAACTCACAGCATCCCCCTTCTGAAAGGGGCCGAGGTTGCGGAAGGCTGCAGTATCTGATTGTATTTCACAAGATGGAAACACAATGGGTTATTTATTTATATCTGTACCACCCCATGGCTGAAGCTCTCTGGGCGGTTTACAACAATCCATAAAACAAGACAATAAAATAGAAAAATATCACACAACTGGGGAAGCATTTTAAAAGTTAAAACAGCTAAAGCAAGAACAAAGAAGGACTCCTTAGAAACACCTGGGATAGGTCATCCTTTCACGGCACTGGCTAACCAGGTAAGTCTTTAAAAACTTCAGCATAAAGGACAGTCTTAACCCATCACCAAAAGGATGCTGACTTTGGCACCACAGCAGGGAGGTTATTCAGTAGATGAAGTGACACAACTTGGATTCCAGACCTCACCCTGGGGGGCTGTTATGACCCCTTCAGAATCCTCTGATGCTTCTGTGCAAGAGCTACACACTCAGAGGAAAACATCACCTGTGTCACCTTAACTCTGCCTATAGGAGAACTTCGCCCAAATGAATATGTTATCTATTCAGAAATTAATGAATGCATCCCTTTGAGCCTGATACGTAATCTCATTCCAACTTGCAAAGTTTTGGACATGTACAATGTCATGGTATATCTTGGAAGCCGTAGTCTGGATCACATTATAGGGCATGATGGCATGTGTCTCCCCATTATGTGCCCCCTCTCTGATTGGTGGTTTCCTTGTGATGCCATTGTGTGTGATGATGTCCTACTTGCTGTCTTTGGTTCAACCTATAGAGCATTCCTCTTCCTTCTTGGAGCTAGAATGGCAGGGATAACTGTGACAAAGAAAGCAGCTAAGAAGACTGCACATTTGGATGGGAACCCAGGGGGCAGGACAACGGAAAACGTAGCCGCAAAGAGTCTGTGTTCCACATGCCCTAACAAGCCAACTTTTTATGAAACTCAGTGTCACCACGACTTAATACGCTCTTCACCTTCTGAAAAGTACATGCACCCACCTCAAAGGCATGCTTGTGAATCACATTGATGACGTTCTTGAAGGTAATTTTGCTCGTCAAGGTGTGCCCATGGTACACGACAGGTTCCTCATCTGGCCCATCCCAGCAATCAATTTCCACACATCGGCATCCCTTCTTTAAGGAACTTTGGAAAGAAGATTGGGTTTTTTAAAAAATATATAATCTGAATATTAAAATATCCATGTCGCAATCATTAGCACTCAGGTTACTTTCTGGTTTCCAAGTGGTCTGTGTTTTTATGCACAGAAGCATTCTGCCAGGGGATCAGACAGAGTGATGTACATTTTGATAATCTGACATTTAAAAAATGTGTTTACTTGGGAAAGTGTATGCCATTCTAGAGAGAAAAGAGAAGTAATGGGAACAGTCTAATCTCCCAGTACTAAACAGAAAATCATCACCGGCCATAGGTCTCCATACATGCAGAAGGCCTTTTGCTCTGCCCCTTCAATGGTGTGGAACTGGCAACACTGATTTTGACTTAGCAAGACTCACATTCAAGAAGCCAATATTCATACATGTGCTGTCAAGTTATATCAGTCCCTGAAGAAAGAGAGAAGTTCCCAAAGCTGAGTGTGCTAAAAACAAAAATCGGGAGTGAAAATTGGTGGTGTCATCCATCTCTACAGAACAGGAATCAGCAGCTTTCTGAGACATCTGGAGATCATCAAGTTGCCTTCTCCTGTTAGACAGATTTATCTCCCGCTGCAGAATCCTGGAGCACGGGTAGCTCTGAGGAGAAAACAAAAGCACCTCCTGGGCCGTCCCAGTAAAGCAGGACAGCAATGCAGTGAGCAACTGGAGCAGAAAAAGGGGTGCACATGGCAGGGAAAATCATGTGGGACAATCGATTGTGCCAGATCATGCTTGCTAATGGCATCTCGACATTGCATCTGCTATGATGATGTTGCATATGTTCATAATAAAAAATTGTGTGGTTCGTCACAACTCATCATATTAATCAGGCAGAGAGGGGAACAAATGAACTCCAAGTGCCACTGGAACAACTCTTATGTTGAAGAACTAAGTGTTGCTTTCATCTTCAGCTAAAGAGAACACCCTAATTTCAGCAAAAACCATAGTTGGATGATGGTTGGCACAACTTGACTTGCTAATATTAATTTTATTTGTATGTTGCTTTTCCATATGTATTGTTCAAAGCCATTCACATCAAACTGTACAGCACAGTAATAAAACAATTCAATATGAATATCCCCAATATAAAGAATACAATAAAGAATTGATAAGTTAATAACACATGTAAAGATATTAAATAAAAACAATCCATTAAAAGACTTCAAAATATAACCAAGTATTGAAACAATTCAGTTAATTACAGAACAAATATATTCAAAACTACTTGATCAGAACACTATTGTAAACCTAGCAAGACAGAAGCATAAAACAATATATATTCCAACAACAATCAATAATATTGTCTGATAGTCCAAAAACTATCCAGCAGGAAACATCCACAAATTAAGACAAATTACAATGGCTTGGGTCTAGAGTAAATTAGCCATGGAGCACAATGTGATTAACTTTATCTCAATCCAAAGTAATACTTGCAGAGGACACCCGGAGCAATTCACAAGCCTGCACAATCGGTGGGTTTGCACAAAACCACCAGCCGTGGGGGTTCTTGTGCAGGATGGTCTGTTGTGTCATGCAGGCCCTGCCATGTTAGGTCAGTATTATATGCTCCATTCTAGAAACCACAGAAAGAAACAACAGTCTGTTCTAAGGTATCCCCGCTTCGCCATGGTTTCTCTAATCGTCCAAACTAGGCATCATTGTTTCCACGGAGCCACCACAGTGTCCCCTGGGAGGCACGGTGACTGCTGCAAGAGTTCTTCAACCACCCAACATGGGACTGAATGCCAGACACGGTGGCTGATGGGATACATGCCAACAGCAGAAGGGCTGGGCAAGGAGGGTGAAAACTGCTTGTCAGGCACACCCATGCCAAAAACCACACGCTGTGGGGAAAAAATAGGGTTGCCCATTGTAATGTGTGAACCCAGTCAAAGTGTCACTGAGAGCCGGCCAAACTGGGGACTGTATCTGAGGCAGTTTATACATTAAGGCCCTCTATATACTGGTTGCTGGGGAGTGTGAGCCGGAGAATGCCGTTGCACTCATGTCCTACTTGTGAGCTGCATTCAAGAAGCTAGTTGGCAGAGTGAAAGCTGGAGCAGATGGACCCTTGGGATGATCCAGAATGTTCTTACGACTGTTCACAAACTACATCTATATATCATAGATGGATTACGTGACGAAACACAGGAGACAGAGTCCAGATTTAGTTGTGCTTAGAGCAAGCACACTGGAAGTGTACATTTAGTTAGCTATGATTAGCTTAAGTCCCATCGCCCAGGTCTACTCTAAGCATGGCTAAGTCTTGACCTAACTCAAGGACTGCACTGAACTTGGCCAAGGAATACATGTTGAAGCTACAGTGGGTGGGGCCCAGAAAGTGGGTGGGGGGAGGTTAAGCTTAAAAACTAAATGCTTTATCACTTTTATGATTCTAATTTTCATTCAGTTCTGATTTAACTATTGTTTTGGAAAAGCATATGTTTGCTTCCCTCCATGGCTCAAATCCTCTCTCTCTCTCTCTCTCTCTCTCTCTCTCTCTCTCTCTCTCTCTCTCTCTCTCTCTCTCTCTCTCTCTCACACACACACACACACACACACACACACACATATGGGACAATGTTTTTGCACAATTTCTCCCTTTCTTTCCCTTTGAAAGAAGTGTACATACTTGGCATAGCCCCACAGGTGACTTGGTCCTATGAGCTGATCTTGTATCAGGTAGGTATTGTGTGACGATGATATAAAGTAATCACACATTGGGTAGGACATGTCCTGGTAGATGTTCCTGTGCTGCTGTTTAAATATACTGCATTCTTCCGACATCATGTAGCGTATGAAGCCTTCGAAGGTCATCTCTTTCTTTTTTCTTGCTAAACAAGGAACATTAAAAATGGGGTTACCAGACTGCCAATTGTCAGACAGGATCCTCCAGAAACTTTAGACCCAAGGAAGCTCTTCAGCCACCCTGAGCTTAAGGGGCTGTGCAACCAAACATCTTGCCCCCAAATTGAGAGCTCTTCTTGTTAAACTATTAGGACTAAAACTCAGAAAATGGTTAGGACATACAATTGCCTGTTGGCCATCACACTTCAGGCCCTGTTTCTCTTCTTTTAGAAACACAGAAACATAGAAACAGAGCGAGTCAGAAGGGGTCTCCCGGGCCATCTAGTCTGACCCCTGGCTCCAGCCAACTCCACTCACGACATGCCCACCATGTGCATGTCCAGTCTATCCTTGAACATCTGCACCGATGGGGCCTCAGCGACCTCTCATGGAAGCCCATTCCACACCCTCGGGGTCCTGAGTGTCAGGAAGTGCTTCCTGGCATCTAAATGGAACCTGGGTTCCCTGAGCTTTGCTCTGTTTCTCAACTGCTTTCCTTTCTCCTACCTTAAAATGCTGCTAGAAACCTGCCTTGTCTTTTCTTTGCTTAGGATTCCTGTTTAAAGCCTCACAACCATGCAGCAGCTGTTCTTTGAGAGCAGCAATGATTATTTTTTTACGATTAGCAAGCTGTCAATAAATGATTATTGTTTATCTATCCAGAAATGAATGACTTTAATTATATTTCTTGCTAAACGATACAAGTGTTCTCCACCCTATCACTCACTTCACTAGCTTTCAGCTCAGTTCCACTTTATGCTGTTCATACTTACTTTTAGTCTCCCCATGTTGGTTTTGTTGGCTCATCCTTTTCTGTTCTCTTTGATTCCTTGTTTTGTTCCAGTTCAGACTCTTCATTTACCTGCCTTTCTCTTTGTTATGTCTAAGAATTCTTGTTTTGTCATTCATCTCACGTCTTTGCCTCCCTGAACCCATATAGCCCTTTCTTCTACCCCTGTTAGGTCTCACACTTCATTCTTTTGCATCTTACACCGGTGTGGCACAGTGGGGAGAGTTTGGGCTAGGGCCCGGGAGACCTGGGTTCTAGTCCCCTCTTGACTAGCTCACTAGGTGGTCTGAGGACAGCCACAGGCTCTCTGCCCAACCTGGATCACATGGCGCTGAAGAAGACCATGTGAGCCACGCTGGGCTCCTTGCAGAAAAAAAGATGGGAAATAGAGATAATAGAGCCAGTGTGGCAGGTTGCTTGGACTGTTGCGTTGGAGGTGGGAGATTTGGGTTCTAGGCCCCACTTGGCCATAAAGCCCCCTGGATCACTTTAACTAGTTCCCATCATAACCTACTTCACATGGTTGTTGTAAGAATAGCTTTGAAAGGAGGAAAGGGATTATGAAAGCCACCTTGCAGGAAAAAGTGGTACAAAATATAGCAAACAAATGCATCCATAACGCCCAGGTAAATGTGAAGGTATGAAGCCCATTGAATTCGCAGGTACTTACTTCTAAGGCCAAACTCCTCACACTTAAGCACCATTGAAATCAGTGAGATGTCCAGACACGTGAATGCAGATTCCCTGCACTGTAAATCTTCAGCAAGCCACTAGTCCTGTCCAACCCAAGCAGTATTTTCTCCACACTCGAAATCAGAATGCACTATTATTTGCAAGACCCAATGCCCTCTCTTCACCATCCTTCCACAATTTCTTTCTGACTCATATCTGTTTAAACTCTTTTGGGGAACAGTCCTATGAGGCTGCCTGTAACCTCCAGACTTGGACAATCCTAAACGTCCTGTGCAGGGCAGGAGATGTGAAGAACCGATCACCACCTCCCCACTTCTCCAGTTCTGCAAAGCAGTTAGTCAGCGGAGTTTGGCAAAGTCTGATGTATCAGACAGGGAGGGAAGAATGCCTCAGATCTTAGCAGGGCCAATCTCCTCCCCTCCCCATCCCCTGGAACAGCCCAAAAGCCTTTCTCCAGGCCAGAGAAGCAGCTGGTGTCATCCTTTGTGCACCCTGTACAAGGGAGGAAAGGGAATCCGAGCAAGAGGTCCCAGCTACAATGTCAGAGCATTGTTTGGACTTTCTAACTAGGAATCTGAACATTTCTGTGGCCATCGAGAGGCCTTCGTCTGGGCCCTGGGATGGCTCTGCCCACCCAGTTTATCCAATCCATTTATGAAGAGCTTAGCATATTTTTAGCAATACAGAAGTACATAATTCTCATCCTTATTTATTATCTGCAACATTTATACCATTCCATAGCTACACAGACTCTAGAGTGGTGAATAATAGAAAAGCAAAAAGATTAAAAGAATAAGATACAATATTAAAAACAGAATCTCAAAAGCCAGAATATCATTAAAAGCAGAGTATCCATAAAATAGAATATCAAATAAGATAGAATATCAATAAAAACAGAGTATCAATAAAATAGCCTATCCTTAAAAGGAAGCATCAATGAAATAGAACATCAAATAAATAAAACAGAGTATCAATAAGAATAGAATATCACTAAAAACAGTATCATTGAATTAGAATATCAATTAAAATCATGGCTGATCAACCACACAAGGCTTTTTTGAAATAAAGGTGCTTTCAGGAAGCTCCAGTCAAACCGTGGCGGGGCCTGCTTGACCTCCCGACACTTGGGCATCATCTTATTTATTTATTTATTTATTTATTAAAACATTTCTATGCCGCCCCTTGCCAAGGCCTCGGGGTGGCTTACAGCATCGAATACAAAATACATTAAAACAATGACAATTAAAATATATACAGTAAAATAAAATAAGCCGCCCTGGCTGAATAAAATTCAATAATATTAACATTTAAAATGCTGCATAAATAAAAAGGTCTTCGCCTTTCAAGAGTATTAAGTAGGGATCCACCCATTACATTGATGGTAATATTTGACCTGTTATTCACTGTTAACCAAATGGAAAGCAATAGCTTGAACTTGGAAGGCACATTGTAATCAAGATCGTGGAGGAGATTCTTTCTATCTGTGATCTGTGAGTACAAAGCTTTCTCCAACTTTGCCTTTTCATTTATCCCAAAGTATGCGGCCTTAGCTCAGCATGTTTATGGCTTAATTGCTCCAGTCCATCAAGGAGAGAAATTTGGTCCAGTGCTTCCCAAAAGCAGTTCCATGAGTTAACTGCCACCATAAATCAAGCAAAGGTTCTTAGCACATGCCACGAACTCAGAGGTTCAGATCTGTGCTTCACTTCATTGTGGTCTCATTTCATGTCATAATTTTGATGAGCAAATTCTTCCTATGAAACTTTTATTCAGAATAACAGAATCTGAGTTTACTCAATTTAAAAAGATAACTGTGTTTAGTAAACTGAGGTCCTAAAGTGATTGGGAAGCACATCATTATAAAAACAGAATCAGCAACACCTTAGCAACTCAACAAGCCACCATTCAAGAAAGGAAAGGTTTATACAGTATGTGTGCTGACTAAGATAGGTTGCCCATTTGAAACATCCACTGTTGAAACTTGCTGATATCTAGCCTTTAGGGTGCAATCCTTTGGCCTCCCAGTGTTGTCTGGGAAGCCATAGGATTATTGGGAATCCCAGCTCTAAGATCTCATGGTGTTGGGACTGGGACTGCAAAGGCCATGCCCTCACCCTGCCACCTTGCAGCTAGCATGGCTGTTCCCCTAACGAAGCTTGCAGGTGGACTTTGGAAGAGAAGGGAAGTGAGCTATGGGCAGTGAAGGAAGGGGACTGTGTCTGATAACCCGTGACAGTTTCTTTGGATTTCCAGGCCTCCTTCCTTCTCCCTCCCCAAAGCTAAGTCTAGGTGGTTGAAAATAGCTGTCTAGATAAAACCTTTAGTGCGAGGTGGTGAGGCTGCAGAAGTCAATGACACACTTTATTCCTGGAAAAGGATACACTTAAACTTCCAAGTTTGGAGGTTTACGTGCAACAAGAATACATCCTTTGGATGAATTTAATGTTTTCCCTGTTTCTTCCTTAGAAGAAGAGAGGCAAGCACAATGATCTATGTGGCAAACCCTCTTTCAAGCGTACTCACAATTTTTCTGCAATAATACTCACTCAATATGCAGAAACTTTAATTATTATGTGTTTATTTTAATTATTTGAAACTTTTACATCCTGTCCACTACTGAGGTCCCAGGGCGGTCTTACAATAAACAGGGTGGAGCACAGCATCCAAATTAATTGCTATACAATAAAACCCCACATTAAAATCACACTCAGACCTTAAAATACTGGGAAAATTAAAAGGGTTTGGTCTGGTGCCAAAAGGAATAAACTTTAAATGCAGGAGCTGTGATAACTAGAGCTACAGTGGACCAAGACAACAAGCTTAATGGCTTAAGGTCTCCCTCAGACAATAGGAGTTGATGTCAAGCAATCCCAGTGTCCAAAATGCAAAAAGACCGGATTTTCTTCATGCATTGCAGGATGCTAGTGGGTGGGGGACGGGGGGAGGACACTATTTTGATTGTTGGTGACAGCAGTATGTAGCAAACTCATATAATAGATTCAGGAGCAATAGGGAAAGACACTTTTTCACATAGAAAAATGGGAAAAGATGGCAGTCATGGCAAAAACCTTTCCACAGATCCAAGTGATGCATAACTATGCCCATCAAAGAAATGCAAAAGTCCACATTCAGAGAAATTCATTGCCAACCAGCTTGACACAGGAACCATCTCACAGGGCGGTCTCCATCATTGTGCTTATCAGATCTCAGGCGGAAGTAGGAGTAAGGCTTTTACTATTGATGTTTAAATCCTTAAGTGGTGACCCATAAGGGACATCCAAAATAATACTACTCTATTAAAACAATGTGATATAAAACACATTGTAATGTTAAAGAAGGGCTATATTAGCCTACTGGGAACTCAGCAGCAGTTCCACCACCAAAAAACTTTGGGTGGCCAGCTTGAAATAGGTCGTGCCCTGTCGAATTTGCCATCCACTTAATCCAGGGCCTGCTAGTTGTGCCACACACATAGTGCGAAAGGCAACAACCTCCAAATCCATT